GTAGGTTTGGGCAACATCTGTGATAGGATGGCATCACATCAGGGATTTTTCATAGGAATACATAATATAAAAATACCGTATATCCCTTTTTTTTTTGCATGTTGGAAATTTTGCGAAAAAGGGGTAGATTAGTACAGTTTTTATTTAGTTATTTTTTATGATTGAAGATCATTTTGTTTAAAATGGTAATGTTTTTATGTCAAATTATAGCTGACATAAATTCCGCGTGTTTTATATTTTGCGTATTAAAAATGATCGCAAAAAAAGCGAAAAATAGATAATCGCGAAAAAAAACGGATATACGGTAAATTGCTGATGAAAAAGTCAGCCATATTGACTCAGGTGAGCTTTGTGGCCCATGGGCCTCTTGTTCAACCCATTTACAGAATTATGGCAATGCACCAAAATTTATATAAACATTTTCCTGTATTCTGAATTGTTTACCACAAACGGTCATTTTACTTAGTTTCTGCTCTTACAACATTAATGTGTGCATGGCTTGGTAAACAAGACATAATGATCTCAAGTGTGAAACATATCCTGTGATTATTACTATGTTGGTTTGAAATGAACCTTTAATATTGTTTTCTGGATGAAATTCTCTGTAATCTCTACATGTACATTGTATTTTTATTTAAAATTATTTTGATAAAAAAGAGTTACTAAAATCTCGAAAGTCTTTCAAATTTTGCTCAACTGGTGTAACTTTAACAATGCTGATCTTTACCAGATTTCCCCTTTGTAATACCTATTGTGGCCCCACTCTATGTGTGGGGGTCATGATTAGGACAATTTCGAATCTGCACTACCTCCAGGATGCTTCCACATGAGTTTTATCTTTCCTGTCCCAGTGGTTCTTGAGAAGATTTTTCAAGTTTTCCCTCTATATTCCAATGTAAAAGTTGGATTCCCTATCATGGCCTTGCCCTAACACTGGGGTCATGATTTGAAAAAAAATTGGAATTTACACTATCCCAGGATGCTTCCATGCAATTTTTAGCTTTTTTGGCTCAGTGGTTCTTGAGAATAAGAATTTTAAAGATTCTACTTTTCCTATTTATTTCAACATAAAACTTGGATTCCTTATTGTGGCCCAACCCTACCCCTGAGGGCCACGATTTGAACAATTTAGAATCTACACTTACCTGAGGATGATTCCACATAAGTTTCAGCTTTCCTGGCACAGTGATTTTTTGAGAAGAACATTTTTATAAAGATTTTTTAATATATATTTCAATATAAATTAACTTTAATTCCCTATTGTTGCCCTGCCCTACACCCCCTTATTTTATTTATTTAGAATCTACATGTACACAACTCCAGGATGCTTCCACATAAGTTTCAGCTTGTATTAACCCAATGGTTCTTGAGAAGGAGATTTTTTAATGGCCCTACCCTATTTTGATCTTTTCTTGATTATCTCCCCTTGTAATGGGGCTTGGCCATTCATTTGAACTCCCCTTCAACCTAGGATGCTTTATGTCAAGTTTCCTCAAGTTATTAATGATATTTAATCACATAAATGCTGAAGTCCTCTCTTAAAGACGTACAACACACTGGGGGAGATAACTCGTGCGATTTCAATTGAACGTTTGACGTGACGTCAAATTTAACGTCAAATGATGAGTAAAACGATCCCGATGTATATCAATCATAAAAGAAAATAGGATATGGAGCTTGGCTGTGATAATGCGTACCATACTCAATCAATGATTTTTTTTTTTTTTGGATTAACCCGATTAAACTCCGTAAAACGCAAGACATAAAATACCATCCCTTAATGTTTCTTTCATTTCATATGTACAATTCATTGTATTCTTGATCATAGTGCAGCATTTTTTTTTTATTCTGAAAATTTTATTGCCGAAATTCTCATTCTGTACACTTGGTTATATAACATTCCGATTAATGGTCTTCATTACAATTTGTGCATTTACGATATATATAAATATTGTTTTTCTTCTTAAATTAAATAAAACAACAATACACAAACAAAAGACTTTTTACATGTGAAATGGATGTTGTTCTCAGACCCTGACTGACCAAAGAGGAACAACTCTGAAAATGTAGGAGATGTTTATTTTCCTCCCTTTATTCACGGTTTTCCACAGTATCAGATACATTTACAGCAAGACCTGATAAATCCGAGAATTGAATATATAGACCTCATATACACAATGTAAGTATAGAATTGAAAAGAATTGTTCACTAGGCCTAATACTGAAATTATCTGCATTTATGAATATCCTATTGCAGAAGTCGTTTGACTTTCTGTCACTGTAACAATGTCGGTTCGCATTTCCTCGAATCAAACAGGTCCAGTCCAAAGACTATTTCTACCTACGTAGCTATTAATAGCTACCTAGGTATTTAAAGCTACCAAAAGTAGCTATTTTTACCTACTTTATATAATTTCTGCATTTTGCGACCAAAAGACCAAATGGCGCAACATGGTGAATACCACATTTTTTGATACGGTCACACTAATGATGAATACGACAAAATTTTGGCCAAAAAATGATTAATTCCTGAATCAGCAATTTTACATAGTTTCTATGCAAAATTGATAATATACGAAGTTTTCATTTTTTGGCCAAATTTTTGTCATATTCATCATCAGTGTGACTGTATCAAGAAATTTTGTGCTCATTATGTTGCGCCGTTCCTGCATTTGGCCACAAAATGCAAGTAAAGCAGAAAGTAGGTAAAAATAGCTACTTTGGGTAGCTTTAAATACCTAGGTAGCTATTAATACCTACGTAGGTAGAAATAGTCTTTGGACTGGACCTGTCAAAACAAAACGTAGCCTATAAGATTTTTAAAAATATCAATGTGCGATTTAAATTGAAATAGATGAAGAGTTTAATGTTTTATATTTTGAAGTTAATGTGGACGAATACGGAATTTTCATTTTAACTTTAGAAGCAACGACATTGAAAGAATGCGTACAATATCGTGAGGGGTGTACATCTATGCAAATGTCGACGTATCCCCACGGCCACATACTGTCTCATTTGAAATAATGACATGAAAGAAACTACAATTATTCCATTTATATCACAGGAGAGTTGAACATAAACCATTTTTTATAAATAAAATTAAAGAAATAAAATTAAAAATCAACATATTCAAGTTCAACATAACTTGAATTGGTATCCAGGTTTCATGTGATATGGAATGCATAACGCACACATATATGGACTAAACACTAAAATCCTTCAGTAATTTTTTCCTGATACATATAAAAACAGTTACGTCAATATTTATTCTGCATTCATGAATTTAAAAACAAATGCATACCTACGGGATTCAAATGACGAAATACTAGTATATTTGCACTGTAAAGGACGTTTCGTCAAACGCTAATGGTCTGCGACGCAAAAAAGGAAGGGGTGGGGGTGGTAGAGGTATTCAAAAATTGCCTAAAAATCTATATTTAAATACTCTTTACATATAAAAACTTTTAAATTTGAAAGTTAATATATTTTAGAAGCAAAAGCAGTATTCCAATTTGATTTTTTTTTAAATGTGTATTTGTAGATTCATAGCAAAGTGATCGACCCCCGTCTGAAAAACGTGCGGGAGCGTAATTTATTGAGAAAGGGGGAGGGGGTAATTTTCCGCTATTAAATCAAAACTGGTCGTACAAAAACTATACAAAAAATTATGAAGATTATTCTTACTACCAGCTACCTAAAGAAAGTTTTTTACCAAAATTAAAAGACAGGTTTTTTCACAAAAAAATTTTGAATTCGAAAAATACATAATTTTCAAGGCTTAGATAATTCATAGTTTTTCAGTTTAAGGTCTTTGAAAATTGTTTTGATGATATGTATATCAAAAAGATGACGATGTTTTTGTGTTAAATGGTTTAAGGAATAAGTCAATGAAATTTGACATTTATATCTAACCTGGCTTTTTTGAAAATCAAGGTTAAAGTAGTTCATTGATTAAAAATTTTCTCTCCTTGTAAACAACTAAAGGGGGTTAACTTTTGGAAGTTCCTGTCCAAAAACCACTCGAACGATTTTGTCCAAAATGTGCATACATGCAGTAGATATAGTCAGGTAATTAATATACAAAAATAACGAAAATTAAACGACAGGAATTTTTTTGGGTAGGTGTGTTGTACATCCTTAAGGGGTTTTATTTATTATCATAAGGAGCATATTATGTGTGGGAAGTTGACAGTTGTTTGGAATTATTAACCTGGTGAGGATCTTATATGGAATAGACATATGAGACAGAATTGGCACATACCTTATAAAATGTAGAACACAAATGATATACATGTGATAATGAAAAATTGTAGAACAAAAAGTGGGAAAAAATAATTCTACAGTTATTATGCTGCCTTTGTTATTTCTGTTTTCATCTTTCATTAATTGTCATCTGACCCATTAAACTTCTGAACATTTAAGACAAAATATAAACTTCTGGGTCAATTTTATATCAAACAGGTGCTTCAAACTAACCTCTGGTTGTTCTAGTAACACTGATAAGATACATGTAACACACTTTCTTCTCACCAATCTGATTAAGTACCTGGGTAGACAGAGAGATTAGTGATCATGTGTATTTTTTTGCTGATAACCTTGAATTTTGGAAGGCCCTGAACAGAACAGTCATTATCAAAATCAAGGTCACATGGTGATGTTCAGGGGCAAATCATGAAAGGGAGAGGCATGAAGCTAGTTAATGTCACTATGAAATATAAAAGAACATCTTATTAATATGCTGTAACATGTCACAGTAAAACTCTGTTATAACGAAATCACTGGGACCTATGAAATTACTTTGCTATTATCTGTAATTTGTTATATTTCTATAAGGAATTTGTTCAACTTATATACCTGGGAATCCAAGATAACTTTGCTATATCCATGAATTCGCAATATCTGTGTTGATACTAACCAAGTTTTACTGTACTAAGTCTTGTCTTTTGCTGTTAAGTTTTGTTGGAATCAAAACAATATGAATAAATCAATTTATTTTTTCAGATGGCTACAAATAAAGGTTATTATAGAAACATGGTAGAACAAAGCCTTGGGAAGTACACTCTAGCTAATGATGAGATAGAGAGAGATCTTCACAGGTTAGACGCTGCATATACTGATAAAATAGAGTGAGACTTGAATGTCTGTATATAGTGATAAAATAGAGAATGATCTAACGTTGGTTAGATATTCTTTCTGTATATAGTGATAAGCTGGAGTCTGTTTATAGTAATAAAATAGGACCCTCTGTATATACCGTATTTGGGGGAATATAATACGCACTTTTTTCCTAAAATAAATTTCTGTGAGAAAGGGATGCGTATTGTACATCACAATGGGATTTTGATAAGTTTTTCTTTCAGGTGAAACACGGCTATCATACATACATACCGTAGTATTACCTAGAGACATATGCAATTTCTTTTGTTTATCGCCATATTTTAAACTTCGGAAAGTTATTGTTGGAAGGTATGCTTGTTAAAAATGTCACTTTCATAATCTTTTGATACTAAAATAACATGAAAAAGCAAGTTAAAAGTAATTTGAGCTGCATGTTGATCGTCTCCGAGTAGGCCGCCATTACCGATGTTATTTTTAGACGTTCACTCATGCCTATGTCACGTGCTTCCATAGTGATAGTGCACATGCACCTTATCTGCCAGATAATTAGTAATAAGTCATTTTTTAATGAAATACAATAAAATAAAAATTTATTTTAGGTTTTAAATAACTCAACGAAAATCTGCTGCAACATAAACACCCCTCCATACGTCCAAATGAAAGGAAGCCAATGTTGTGACACACGTGCGCTGTTCAAATGATAATTACCTATCAACACCCCTCCGGGCAATTAATTGTCTACCGACTCCAAAGCAATGTTTTTACAGTTAGAGCAATGTTTATTTACTGTCCTGTTAATTGCTTTGATTATTTTCTTTGTTAAAAATTGGGGGTCGGTTTATGACCTTTAGTATGTGTGAGCATGTGTTGATTACGACACATTAAACAATTAAACACTTGTTAAATGTAATTTTACCTAATCTTATACTTATCGGCCTCTTTTTTAAATGATTGAGAGTTGACAAATGAAATATGGATTATGCTAAAACTTAAGCGTTATCATTTATTGGTGCTCTTTAGAAAATAAGATATCCGCAAAAATTCAGAAGAGAAAAATCGTAGTCCTCTTAAATAAATACTTTGATGATTCAATTTCGTGTACTGTTAAAAAATTGTAACATAATTTTCAGCATGATTACCTAGAACCAAAATTAAATATGATTACTGTTAAAACTTTCAACAATATCTCATGCTTTCTTGAAATAAAATTATTTCATCTAAGAATATGGCGACTCATAATTTCAAAATCACCGTAACTATGCTTAAAAAAAATTCTGTTAATACTTTTACGCAACATTATCTTGTGCTTTGTTGAAATAAATGAATAAATAATTTTCTCGAGATTGCTGCGATATGGAATGTCAGGATCAAGAGAAAGTTATAAAGTGTTTATTTTAAAAAAGATGTGTTCAGTGAATTTTTGACACTTTATCCTCGCGCCGATTTTCGTAACAAATTACCGCGATTTTCAAAGTTCAGAACATCGCTTAGTAAATTTTTCGGTTGCGTATAATACATCCGAACTGCTTTTTTTTCCTCAGTTTCAGACTCAAAAAGGGGGGTGCGTATTTTACATCAATGCGTATTATACTCGGCCAAATATGGTAATGATAAGATAGAGTCTGTATATTGTGATAAAATAGAAAACTTTATTGGTTAGACATTCTGTATATAGTGCTAAGATTGAGTCTGTATATTGTCATAAAAAGTCTTCACCTGTTAGTGATCCTTCGGATGAGACCATATAAACCAAGGTCTCATTTTGCAGTAGGTGCTGGCACGAAAAAATCACTCACTGCTCAATGGCCCTGAGTGCCAAATATAGGACAAAATTTGCAGCTCTCCAGCGTCCAATGGTGGCGTCTCCATATGTCGAATGAAAAATTCTCAAGAGGGATATTAAACAGCATACACTGTACAAACAAACAAACTTCACTTGTTAGACATTCTGTATATAATGATAAGAGAGAGTGAGTTTGTATATAGTAATAAAGTAGAAAGCTTCAAAGATTAGAAAATCTGTATATTATGATAAAATAGAGTGAGACTTCAATGTCGGTATATAGTGATATCGATAATATAGAGATGTTCACAGGCTAGACAATCTGTTTGTACCCAAGTAAAAAAAATCCTCAAACAAATCACTCTAAGAAATCATTAATGAATCAGTGATTTGAAGATGATTTGTAAGTGATGCACATTCCCATGCAAATGAGCTAACAAATCACTCCTAACAAATTGTAAGCAAATCACCTGGAAATCACAACGAAATCACTGAGAGTAAATCGTGTAGAAATCACTTCTGTTGAACAAATCGCAACCAAATCACTCCAAATAAATTGCAAACAAATCATTTCAAATAAATTGCAAACAAATCACTTCAGTTTAACAAATCACTTTCAAATCACTCCAGGTGGTTACACACTTGTGTGTAGGATGCTCATGTAACCATCCCTCAAATATTTGAAACATACATGCATGCATTCAGGTATTTGTTGTATATGAACAAAATACTTTTGGCAAGTGTATTTTAAAATATAAACTTTTACTAGGATGTGTCCTCATTAGGGTAGCATCATGTATTTTAGATATATACACATGTACTAGGCTCCAAATTCAGAATATGATATAAGCATTAACACACACACACACACACACACACACACACACACACACACACACACACACACACACACACACACACACACACACACACACACACACACACACACACACACATTGCTGACTTTTAGAAGTTGGTAAATGTTTTCTTATCTGAAATACACATTTGTCTAGACACTTTGAAAACGATAGTACTTTTCTGAAGCTTCTAGCTTTACATAGATTTAGTTTAAAACATTGATTGCCACTGACTTTGTTGTTGGTAGAAGAACAATAAATTGCATGTGAACATAGGGAATATTAACTAAATCTCAAGAGGAAATGATAGCATAATACAGTTATACATACCTTAAAACTATATTCTGCATGATTATAGAAAAAACATCAGTTTCAACAAAAGAAGAGAGGTATGAATCTAGAAAAGCACAATGTAGCTCCTTTCATTTCAATTCAAATCTGATAAATGAAAATTGGCGGTATAGAGTTTCTAATACTGACCAATCAGCAAGCCAGGCGGAAGTTATGAAGTAAATCATTCTCAAATCACTCTGAAGAAGGGCCATGAGATCAACAAATCATTTACAAATCACTTTGAAGAAAGACTAAGTTAACAAATCATCTTCAAATCACTCTGAAGAAAGACTAAGTTCCAGAAATCATGTTCAAATCACCTTGAAGAATGGCTAAGTTCAACAAATCACTCAGAAATTGTCTGAAATGGGAAAGAAATCACAAGCAAATCACCCTTTTATAACAAATTGTAAGCAAATCATAGTCATCATTTTAGTAGAAAGTGATTTAAGCATGATTTGTTAAATGAATTGCTTACAAATCACTGAAACAAATCACTTATAAGTGATTTTAAAGTAATTTGTATGCAATTTGTGAGTGATTTGTTTGAAAAAATTTTCACTTGGGTAGTCATAAAATAGAGATGTTCACAGGTTAGACATTCATTATATAGTCATGAAATGAGAGATATGCATGGGCTAGACAATCTGTATATTGTCATAAAATAGAGATGTTCACAGGCTAGATAATCTGTATATTGTTATGAGATGCAGAGTTTTACATTACAGATTTGCAGCAAGAAAAAGTTATAACTTGGTAAAATTTATAGATTGACAAAATGTCTTGTAATTAGACTGAGAATTTTAACGATCGTGGAAAATAGTTTAGTTTTCTCTATATTATTAGAATGTCTATAGAAATTATATGGCTACATGAATTAATTCTCAAATAAAATAATTACCTTTTAAGATTTCAACAATATGATAATGCATTTAGAAATCCAAGTTTATGATTATCCCTATGAAGTTTAATGGTTCAGATGGCTTATTGTAGGTCACTGCCTGAACATCCTGCCTTCCAGTCTGATCTGGGAATCAGTGCTCTGAGGCGAGTGTTAACTGCTTATGCCTGGAGAAATCCTACTATAGGTAAAGCTAAGTGTTAGGTAACCTTTGTAATACATTATTCATTTCTTACTGATTTCTAACGATGATAAATGTAAAGGCATCTACTTATTACACGTAAAATTTGAAAGGTCTGAAACTGCATCAGATTTATTTTCTCAATTTTCTGTGTACTGTATATACTCGCCTATAAGTCGGTCTGTCTATAAGTCGGTCGTATTTTTTTTAGCTTATTTTGGTAGAATTTGTCAATGACCCACTTATAAGTCGGTACAACTTTTTGCCAGAATCAAATGACCAATTCAAGTCAATGTTTCGAATTTTTAACCTGGTTTTAATTAGGATTATTTTTTAGAAATGGCACTGATATTTAATTTTTTATCATTAAACAAATACGTTATATAGAGTTGAGACAAAAATAAAATTTGTAGAATAAGTAAATACTTGTATTTATGGTACATGTATAATTTTGGAGTGCATAAATAATTTTAAAAAATAACAAGACTTTGTTCAGTGAATATCCTCGGAAATGTTTACAAAATATTATATTTCGTTGTCAGAAAAAATACTGATTTTTTTATGACTCGCCTTTAAATCGGATATACAGTTTTGGACCAAAATTTAACTCCAAGAAAAAAAGAAAAAAAAACGACTTATAGGCAAGTATATACGGTAGTTCCAGCAAATTTCCAGGAAGCCTTTAAGATTTTAAAAAATCCAGCCTCAGATGTAAATTTATGTGAAGTATGAGATCCATTTGTGCATTGCTTACCTGAGCTGAACGATTAATTGAGCTTTCCTTATCAAAGTTTGTCATCCATCAGTCCATCTCTCTGCATTAGAATTTTACTTAGCCAACGTCAATCAAATTTTGGCTCAGAGACTCATTTAGTGAAGCTTAGAAACATTGTTCAATGCACATTTCATGCCTTTTACCAAAACTGAGAAATTTATAGCCCTGAGACCTTTAGTTCATAGCATAAAATGTCATTGCAGACTGAAAATCTAGCAAGCAAACTGATTCAAATATTATCAGTGCATAACCAATTTTCCAAAACTCTAAAATTCATGCTTCCTGGGTCAGGCATATGGGGTTAAATGCTCTTTATAAGATCTTGAGATGCATTTCCAAATGTCATTATCTTGAGGTTTCATGTTACAAAATCTTGAATATTACAACAATCTCAACCATTTTCTAAATTAATCACAGCTGAAACATTTACATGTAGCAGGTAAATTGTTAGTAACTTTACTCTTAAATTTCTTTTAGACAATGAGAATGATATTTGTCTTTAAGGTTACTGCCAGGCCATGAATATTGTGACCAGTGTACTACTGCTGTATGTTAGTGAGGAGGAGGCATTCTGGTTATTGACGTCCATTTGTGAGCGACTTTTACCCGACTATTACAACACCAAAGTGGTCGGGGCATTGATCGACCAGCGTAAGAAATTTTTTTTGATGCTCATTTTAATTTTTATTCTTTCTTTTTATTGAAAAACTGCAAAAAGATATCAGAATTATTTTTTTTTAATTTGAGCAAAGACAAAATACAAGAAATACATTCAACTTTTAAGTTTACTAGTTGATTTTCATGGTTATGCATGCACTATATGTTTTTTCTACGAGATGTACAGAAAAATGTTGTCTTGAAGTAACCAGTGTTTGATTCAAAATATTTGAATATCACTCAAAAAAAATATGTGGAGTGACAAAATAAGGTAAATACCGTATAAGTGGTTTAGTGAGATGCAAATTAAGCGATTTCTCCTTAAAAACTGATATTTTATTTTTAGCGAAAAGTGATTTTAGCGATTTTAAAATGTTCACTAAAGAAGCTAGTACAAATAACACGCAATTCATTTTTAGCGATATTCAATTTTAGCGATCTCAACAGCCTCACTAATAATGCCAAAATTAAATCCTCGCAAAAATTTCTACTTATACGGTAAATAATGGAAAAATTGTTTTACCATAGGTTTAAATTTGAATATTATACAAACCTGCATTGTTTTTAGCTCTACTGGTCAGAGACCAGAAGAGTTTATGCAATAGTAAGGTGTCCGTCATCTGTCTAGCTGTCTAGCTGTCCATCTGTCTGTAAACAATTTTTCAAAATGCTACTCCTCTTACAGTTTTATTCTGATTTCAATATAACTTGACACAGAAGTAGACTACACCAAGATACATAATTTAGTGCATCAGTTTGATTTCGATGAACTGTGTTGCCATGGTTGCTAAAAATAGAAATTTCTATGAAATTCCTTTAAAACCTCCTTTTTATTGGTTGTCTCTTTTATAGATGTTTTTGACCTGATTATTGATTGTCTCTATTTGTAGATGTTTTTGAGGACCTGATTATTGATTGTCTCTATTTGTAGATGTTTTGACCTGATTATTGATTGTCTCTATTTGTAGATGTTTTTGACCTGATTGTTGATTGTCTCTATTTGTAGATGTTTTGACCTGATTATTGATTGTCTCTATTTGTAGATGTTTTTGAGGACCTGATTATTGATTGTCTCTATTTGTAGATGTTTTGACCTGATTATTGATTGTCTCTATTTGTAGATGTTTTTGAGGACCTGGTTATTGATTGTCTCTATTTGTAGATGTTTTTGACCTGATTATTGATTGTCTCTATTTGTAGATGTTTTTGAGGACCTGATTATTGATTGTCTCTATTTGTAGATGTTTTTGACCTGATTATTGATTGTCTCTATTTGTAGATGTTTTTGAGGACCTGATTATTGATTGTCTCTATTTGTAGATGTTTTGATCTGATTATTGATTGTCTCTATTTGTTGATGTTTTTTAGGACCTGAATAATGATTGTCTCTATTTGTAGATGTTTTTGAGGACCTGATTATTGATTGTCTCTATTTGTAGATGTTTTTGACCTGATTATTGATTGTCTCTATTTGTAGATGTTTGTGACCTGATTATTGATTGTCTCTATTTGTAGATGTTTTTGAGGACCTGATTATTGATTGTCTCTATATGTAGATGTTTTGGAGGACCTGATTATTGATTGTCTCTATTTGTAGAAGTTTTTGACCTGATTATTGATTGTCTCTATTTGTAGATGTTTTTGACCTGATTATTGATTGTCTCTATTTGTAGATGTTTTGACCTGATTATTGATTGTCTCTATTTGTAGATGTTTTGAGGACCCGAATAATGATTGTCTCTATTTGTAGATGTTTTTGACCTGATTATTGATTGTCTCTATTTGTAGATGTTTTTTACCTGATTATTGATTGTCTCTATTTGTAGATGTGTTTGAGGACCTGATTATTAATTGTCTCTATTTGTAGAAGTTTTTGACCTGATTATTGATTGTCTCTATTTGTAGATGTTTTGAGGACCTGATTATTGATTGTCTCTATTTGTAGATGTTTATGAGGACCTGATTATTGATTGTCTCTATTTGTAGATGTTTTTTACCTGATTATTGATTGTCTCTATTTGTAGATGTGTTTGAGGACCTGATTATTAATTGTCTCTATTTGTAGAAGTTTTTGACCTGATTATTGATTGTCTCTATTTGTAGATGTTTTGAGGACCTGATTATTGATTGTCTCTATTTGTAGATGTTTATGAGGACCTGATTATTGATTGTCTCTATTTGTAGATGTTTTTGAGGACCTGATTATTGATTGTCTCTATTTGTAGATGTTTTTGACCTGATTATTGATTGCCTCTATTTGTAGATGTTTTTGAGGACCTGATTATTGATTGTCTCTATTTGTAGATGTTTTTGACCTGATTATTGATTGCCTCTATTTGTAGATGTTTTTGAGGACCTGATTATTGATTGTCTCTATTTGTAGATGTTTTTGAGGACCTGATTATTGATTGTCTCTATTTGTAGATGTTTTTGAGGACCTGATTATTGATTGTCTCTATTTGTAGATGTTTTTGACCTGATTATTGATTGTCTCTATTTGTAGATGTTTTGAGGACCTGATTATTGATTGTCTCTATTTGTAGATGTTTTTGACCTGATTATTGATTGCCTCTATTTGTAGATGTTTTTGAGGACCTGATTATTGATTGTCTCTATTTGTAGATGTTTTTGACCTGATTATTGATTGTCTCTATTTGTAGATGTTTTTGAGGACCTGATTATTGATTGTCTCTATTTGTAGATGTTTTTGACCTGATTATTGATTGTCTCTATTTGTAGATGTTTTTGACCTGATTATTGATTGTCTCTATTTGTAGATGTTTTTGACCTGATTATTGATTGTTTCTATTTGTAGATGTTTTTGAGGACCTGATTATTGATTGTCTCTATTTGTAGATGTTTTTGAGGACCTGATTATTGATTGTCTCTATTTGTAGATGTTTTTGACCTGATTATTGATTGTCTCTATTTGTAGATGTTTTTGACCTGATTATTGATTGTCTCTATTTGTAGATGTTTTTGAGGACCTGATTATTGATTATCTCTATTGGTAGATGTTTTGAGGACCTGATTATTGATTGTCTCTATTTGTAGATGTTTTGAGGACCTGATTATTGACTGTCTCTATTTGTAGATGTTTTTGACCTGATTATTGATTATCTCTATTTGTAGATGTTTTGAGGACCTGATTATTGATTGTCTCTATTTGTAGATGTTTTTGAGGACCTGATTATTGATTGTCTCTATTTGTAGATGTTTTGGAGGACCTGATTATTGATTGTCTCTATTTGTAGAAGTTTTTGACCTGATTATTGATTGTCTCTATTTGTAGATGTTTTTGACCTGATTATTGATTGTCTCTATTTGTAGATGTTTTGACCTGATTATTGATTGTCTCTATTTGTAGATGTTTTTGACCTGATTATTGATTGTCTCTATTTGTAGATGTTTTTGACCTGATTATTGATTGTCTCTATTTGTAGATGTTTTTGAGGACCTGATTATTGATTGTCTCTATTTGTAGATGTTTTTGAGGACCTGATTATTGATTGTCTCTATTTGTAGATGTTTTTGACCTGATTATTGATTGTCTCTATTTGTAGATGTTTTTGAGGACTTGATTGTTGATTGTCTCTATTTGTAGATGTTTTTGACCTGATTATTGATTGTCTCTATTTGTAGATGTTTTTGAGGACCTGATTATTGATTGTCTCTATTTGTAGATGTTTTTGACCTGATTGTTGATTGTCTCTATTTGTAGATGTTTTTGAGGACCTGATTATTGATTGTCTCTATTTGTAGATGTTTTGACCTGATTATTGATTGTCTCTATTTGTAGATGTTTTTGAGGACCTGATTATTGATTGTCTCTATTTGTAGATGTTTTTGAGGACCTGATTATTGATTGTCTCTATTTGTAGATGTTTTTGAGGACCTGATTATTGATTGTCTCTATTTGTAGATGTTTTTGAGGACCTGATTATTGATTGTCTCTATTTGTAGATGTTTTTGAGGACCTGATTAATGAGAACCTCCCAGCCCTGCATCAGAAGTTAGAGGTCCTGGGTCTCCTCAGTATGATCTCCTTGTCATGGTTCCTCACAATATTCCTCAGGTACAGTGTATTATGTATTAATGTTCTGTCATAATGACAAAATTCTGACTTTTCAATTTTGTCTTATAACCATCAGAGCAATCTTTTCATTCCTTCAAGCACCACACACATGCAAAAAAGCACAGTCATCATATATATGTTTGCATGGTCATGCAGCCATATCATGTGGAAACAAAAAATATATATTAATTTTGGCCTTGAAGTCTCATATTGCTTAGAAAACTACAGATGAACGGTGATCACAGGGTTAACTTTATTGATTTCAGGATTAAAAGGTCATAGTCAGAGGCTCAGAGCAGTTAAATATGTTTTGAAAAATATAGAATATCAATTGACCTTTGAATCTGGTACATGTATACTTGCTTCTGAGATGCTAGGTGGGCAGAGGGATAAGGCTACAGATTCAAAATCAAAGGTCAAATCCCAGGTTTAAATAATGGGATAGGTCTGAACAAGATAAAATTTTCCAGACTGAATTGAAAGAACCATTTCACCTATCATTAACAAGGTCAGAAATAGTGATAGGTTGATAAAAAGGTGTGGATTGGATTTGGAAAGTACCTTTGTCCAGTTGTGTTTTATAATCATTAATCAAACTGTCAGTTTCACACTCATTCCTCATTTACTAAGATGCCTGATGGCTTAAGGGAAAGTGTTTATTTAATCAATATTCAGTAGGTCAAAGGTCATGGCCAGAAGCATTAACAGTTTAGAAAAATGGTGAACACACAAATTAATTGAAAAGTACCATATCTGATTTTACTCATAACCTTGCTCACAGAGATGCAAATTTGGCAACGAAAAAGCCTTTCTCATTATTTTTTGGGTCAAAGGCCAATGGTCAAGGTCAAAGACTGTTATAAGCATTAACTGCACATACCCAATTTAAAGCAATATGAGCTGAAATAAAATAAAGCAGAATAAAGACTTCTATATACAATCCAATATACACTTTTATATAAGAAATCTTTATTGTCCAGGACAACAGTAATGTAATTTTTATTCAATCAAAGCTTATAAATAGTTCTTCCATTGCAAATATGAACAACAAAAGTTTATTAACATTTTTTTTCTGTCATTGAAATACATGTAGTTATTTACAGTTTTGCAACAAAAAATTCCGACATCAAAGTTGCAGCTCATTGCTTTAAGGAGTGCAATTTATAATCATATGCACTCATATTCAAAATATTAGCAAATATTTAATTTTGGCATTTATTGAGGATGTTGAGATGGCTTATATTGAATATTCTAAATTGGAGGTTACCAATATCTTCCACATGTTCTAGACATCTTAAAATTGCTAAAACTACTCCCTGAAATTTAGTACAGATTAAAAAACATGGTGAAATTTAATCTCTCAGAAAATTTCACTTATACAGTATTTTGTCATCAATAAATGTTTTTAATATGTTTTCCCTCTTAAATATAGTTAAAGTTGATGGATAACCAAATATTATTTCTCTGTACCAATATATGACCAATATTTCAACTCATTTTGTAATTTTCTTTTCATTAGTGTGATGCCATTTAACTGTGCAGTCTGCATAATGGATTGTTTTTTCTATGATGGAGCCAAGGTAACTATGTAGAAAGTTGTTTTAAATAGTACTTTTAGTTTTACCCAGTCTTTTAGTATTTTTCTTTAATTCATTAGCTTACAATTTGATTCATTAAAGATTTCCTAACATCGATCGACTGATTGATAGACAATGAACAGGCCTGTTACATGTGGGAAAAGGGAGGGAGCGACTCCAATTTTTTTCCACTTTCTTCACTTTTTCTGAGAAAAGTCTTTTTTTTCTTAAGTGTTGAGATGTGAAAATTAGGCGCTGCTTGCACCCCCTTTCATACACACTTTTTGTTGCTGTTAGGTCAAACTCAGACAAACTCCAGCACTTTAAAAGAAATAAAGTTGAGAACTTCCATACTGCCCCCAAAGCACATAATTTTCAAAAAAAGACGTTGCTACATGTAGAGCTGTGGGTCTGAAAAAGAATTTGTAACAAATTTGCACGTGGAACGATGGATACCCTGTTTATTGTTTACACATGCCAGGTACAGGTAGGTATATCCCAATTTGCGTCTTTGTACAACCAATAAATTTCACACTTTGCTGCTGCTCCCTTGACCACAGAGTTTTCGTATTATTGTCGCTCCATTGAAAGCTAATATTGTCATTACAAAATAAAGCTTATAATTCTGTTCTTTTTTTTTTCATTTTAAATTCATATTTCTTAAATTCATTTTTTTTGGCAAAATTATTGGGGCGGCGACGCCTGTCCCTTCCGCCCCTTTGTCGACGCCCCTTATGAATTCAAAAGGGGTTTCATGATCTATATATTTTGGCCATTAATTTTTGAACCTCTTTGAAAAGGTATTGGATGTAGAAAGGGGATGCTCAAGATTTTTTGGCTTGGATATATATTGGATTCTGTCTATTTTAATTGGCAAGAGGAAGTTTCCAACATTGTTGATACTACAGATGTGAAATGCTGAACCCCTATCTTTCCTGCATAGTTTTGAAAGAGATGTTTCAAAATTAAAAAGAAAATTGTTTTAAAATCTGGAAACCTTACAGGCATTTAGATTTAAATTGGGATTCCCTAATATAATTATCTCTTTTGTGCCCTGTACTACAATGTACTTAGTAATTTAAGCTATTACATGTAGCCCCCCCCCCTCCCCCAAAGTACACACACACTGCCACAAATCATTAAAAAGTTGTACTTTAAGGGGTTCAATAAAGTCTTGAACTTAGCTCCCTCATACAATACTTTTCTGTATTTATTGTATAACAGTTTGTTCTTGAGTAGTATTTAAGGGGGTGGGGGGTCAATTATTGTTGTAGTCAACATGAAGCTTGTTCACTTTAGTAAAAGGTCAATATAATTATCACATACAGATATGATATTTGAAGCTGACCCTTTCAATATTAGGGATGCATGATTTTATTGGAATTGAGGCTTATCCTGTTTTTTGTTTTGAAATTGTGTGATACATAACATGGAATAAAATATGTAGGAATTAGAGTATAATTGAAAATTCTATAAAAAATTAAATTTTTGTGAAAAAAAATGCTATTCAACATTGCATTATTTAACCATAGTTGTCTGCATTGAGTTCAAAGTCAGCTAGTAATAACTTCTTACAGATGATTAGAATTTTAAACTAAAAATTCTGCTAGTGTAAGCAATAGCTTATGTCGCCCCGAATTGGACAAGACTTTCATTTTTTGTATCACTAAAACAATTCCCATCAGCTAAGTTTGGACAACCATCAATTCGTATCAGTACTATCAGTACTTTGATTTAAAAATCAAAGTTAAAGAATTTTCACTTTTCCACTTATTCCATGGAAACTATTGACAATTTGCAATTTTTAAACGCAACACACACAATTACAGATACTAATCATTAAATCAATAAAGTTTCATGACGAATGTCCAAGGGACCAGAGAGAACACTCGTGGACAAAATTCGTGGCTTTTTGCAGGTTTCCATGGCAACGGTAGCATTTTGAAACTTAATGACCACACAACACAACTACAAACCTTTGAGGAAAGTTTCAGGAAGATTGTCCCATCCATCTTCGAGAAACAGCCCGTATAACAGAAACATGCGTACAATCACAATATGTCGTCCCGACTTCGTTCGGGGCAACATAATAATTAAGTTTTAGTTTGTTTTCTGTTGTAAAAACCTGAAAGCTTCAACTTCTCTATTTATCAATAGATATATTCAAGATGTTAAAAGGATGGGGTAATTAGATTATATTTACTATAAGAAAGAGAGGTATGTGTGTGTCACTTTTCTGACATACTGACACAAGGAACTTACCCTTTTATATCTCAATACACAAGTAATTTATTTAATTAAATTACATGTGTGATGGCTTAAGAAATCAGATTCTAGTAATCTGCCACCCAGAGAAGGTGGTTAATGCCCTGGCATTGCTGACAATATTGCATGTTTCCCCGTGGGGATTGTTCATTTCCACAAAGGCCGTGTCACCTTGGTTCATGTAGGTTATGAGAAATCCAGTTCCTGAACCACTCTCGATAGAGTTGGAACCAGTGGCCTTGGCACTAGAGGAGGTCATACTCAGGATAAAGCCATTTTTTAACATCCTGGTACTGCACCAGTTGTCATGACGAACTGCGGTGACCCAGAGAAATGCATAGATCCCATCGGACGGTGCCGTGAAAATTCCACTGCTGCTGTTATAGCCGTTTCCATAGTTTCCGAGTACATTGTTGTATAGGAGCTTGTTCCCGACATGATTATTTCCACCCAAGTTGTCAATGTAGGCACTGAAGGCCACATAGTGACTAGTCTGTCTGTCTGTAAAAAATTAAAATATAGGGCAATGTTCTAGAAAAACCTTGTTGCCTAACAAGTAGAAGAGGATATTGTTTAGACATTGTTTGCTACAAAGTCTTTGGAAATTAAAACATTCATACATGATGATACTACTTGCAGCAGTCTTACTACAATATTTCACTTGAAACATGAAGTTATGACAAAGTTGAAGCAAAAAATTAAAAAAAAGATTGTGTTTTCAAAGGCAATTGTTTCTGAAAATGGGGAAGGGACCCAATTTGTTTTCCAAGTTGTGAACAAATAACAATGCTAGAGAAATGGTTTGATAATTTTGATATTGACAGTTTTTAACACACAGTATTTTTCTTGACAGAGAAATTAATGAAAACTTTATTCTTGCCAAAAACTCTTAGGGCCAATGGATGTGTTCAACATGTAAATCTTTTCCTAAGATAGTGTGAACAAGGTCTTTCAAGGTTATCCCACAGACACACCCAAAAATGTGAAATTTTTAGTCTTGAAAAACCAATTGCTTTGCAATATAGTCTAGAGAACTATCTAAAGCTATTCACTGATAAGGGTCTGGCAGCATGTTAGACAAGGTGAAAATTATTTGCATATAAAATGAACATGTTATCTCCTATCACAATGAAATATACATATTAACCTTTAATACATGTAGTCTGTAATGCTTGATAAGACATACTTGTTAAAAAATGAAGTGAAGCATATTAGGGGGAGGGGGGGGGGGGGTGAATTGTCGGTAGGGGATACTCCCTACGCCATAGCCCCTGATCCCACCTTCAATGTTTCAGAGGTCCATGTTGCTCTGCTCCTGATTTGTTTATATGGACTTGTGAGTTTGAATACTGTTTCTTATCCCCATATTTGATGCAAATTTTTAAACTTTCATTCTATAATCACCAGTTTGATTTTAAGGGAAAAAAATATCAAGTAAAATTAACTCTTTTTTTTCAAATTAACATGGCAACTGATAACATGAAAATGAAGGTCAAATTCAAAGATAAATACCATAAAACAACATCTTGATTCTTGAATGTGTAGGCCAAAAATAAAGAAAAGTAAATATAATCAGCATGTATTTTTGGACTATAGGGCAAAATATAGCTTTGAAGTATCAAAACTTCACCAAACTCTAAAGTTTTTAAGATAAAAAGCAAATCTGGATGAATAATTCAGATGACATTAAAGATTTAAAGTTAAGGAATAAAAATCATCAACATTTTAAGCTTCTCAGATTTCTTTGAATCTTGCAGGAAGTCTTTTTGGATGTGAAAATAAGTTGAATTAAATTAAAATAAAAATTTTGGGCATTTTGTGTCCAATTTAAGCTTTAATTTGAAGGCAAAAAAATTAATTTTAAAATGTGATTTATTAATAGTACATTTTTATAGCAGGGGTGTGCTTTACAATAATTTTGTTAGACAAGTGTCTCCTTATTATTATGTAAACATAAAGAGTATAGCTGACCTATTTACATGTGTCATAATATTACAAGTCTCTTTGCTTGGGAATTTTTTTTTGGTAAACCATTCATTATACCCCCCGCAAACGAAGTTTTGGGGGGGTTTATAGGAATCACCTTGTCCGTCTGTTAGTATTCTAGCTGTCCGTCCGTCTGTCTAGCTGTCTGTGCAAACTTGTCCGGTCCATATCTTTCTTACGGAGGAACATTAAAATCTACTACTCCACACAAAGATTGCCCATGACCTAAAGTGTGTCATAACCTTGACCCAAGGTCATTTGAGGAAATTCAAGGTCACTGGAAGAAAAAATTCATAATTCGTGTCCGGTCCATATCTTTCTTATGGATAAACTTGGTAGGTTTTAATTTCAAACAAAGATTGCACATGACCTAAGGGTGTGTCATGACCTTGACCCAAGGACATTTGGGGAAGTTCAAGGTCACTGGAAGAAAAATTTCAAAATTTGTGTCTGGTCCATATCTTTCTTATGGATAAACTTGGTAGGTTCTAATTTCACAAAAAAGATTGCTTATAACCTAAGTGTGTGTCCTGACCTTGACCCAAGGTCATTTTGGGAAGTTCAAGGTCACTGGAAGAAAAATTTCATATTTTTTGTCCAGTCCATATCTTTCTTATGGATAAACTTGTTAGGTTCTAATTTCACACAAAGATTCCTGCTGAACTAAGGGTATGTCATGACATTGAACCAAGGTCATTTGGGGAAGTTCAAGGTCACTAGAAGAAAAATTTCATAATTTCATAATTCGTGTCCGGTCCATATCTTTCTTATGGATAAACTTGGTAGGTTGTAATTTCACACAAAGATTGCTCATAACCTAAGGGTGTGTCATGATCTTGACTCAAGGTCATTTGGGAAAGTTCAAGGTCACTGGAAGAAAAATTTAATAATTTTTGTCCGGTTCATATCTTTCTTATGGATAAACTTGGTAGGTTTTAATTTCACACAAAGATTCCTCCTGACCTAAGGGTGTGTCATGACTTGTCACTGGAAGAAAAATTTCATAATTTTTGTCCGGTCCATATCTTTCTTATGGATAAACTTGGTAGGTTCTCATTTCACACAAGGATTCCTCCTGACCTAAGGATGTGTTATGACCTTGGGTCAAGGTCATTTGGGGAAGTTCAAGGTCACTGGAAGAAAAATTTCATAATTCGTGTCTGGTCTATATCTTTCTTATGGATAAACTTGGTAAGTTCTCAAATCTTTCTTTATTATGGAAAAACTTGAATCTACTACTTCACACAAACCATTGCTTATGACCTGAGGTTGTGTCATGACTTTGAACCAAGGTCATTTATGCAAGTTCAAGGTCACTGAAAAAAGTTCATAATTCGTGTCTGGTCCATAAATTTAGTCTATTTTTTTAATTAGGCTGCGCCTTCGTTTCATTTATAAAAAATATAATGAGCACTTACATTTGCACTAAAAATGTTTTAGCATTTCTCTCTTCTCTTAGATCCATAAAATATTCATGATTTAGCACTTCTGAAAAACCCAGCGGGGGGTATTTTATCCCGTTTGGACAGTTCTAGTTATTCAGAACATGAATACATGTGTATGTGAAAATTAAGAAAACAATGATTGAAATATAAATAAATTGTACCTTGTCTGGATTTGGAAGGACAGTGTTCAGTTACATAATGGCAGACATCTTGAGATGGCAATTTTCTCTCTCGGGTTGTTGTCATTTGATGCTTAAACCACTGATTTAGTTTGTAAATTTCAGAAGTCTTAAATTTGTTCTCCTTTTTCAGGGCAAGAATTTCCTTTTGCAGGTCACTAATTGTTATCTGGTTTTCCACATTTTTGGCCTCCATTTCAAAATATTTTGTCCAAAGAGGAGAAACTTGTTTGCTGACTTCCTCTTCAATAGCAGCATTATAATCCATTTGGGACACAGAAATGTTAACACAACACAAAAAGAATAATATAAGAAAAATCATTGTTTATGTGATTATGATTGTTTTGCACTATAGAGAGCTGGTGAATTTTGACAGTGAACGATAGTGAATGAAAGGAATTGACCTGAATTGAATTGATAGTGAGAAAATGACCATTTGTACATGTATGTAGGCAGTGGGAATTTGCAGTACAGTGAATTGCAGTCATTCAATTTATTGACCTTGCAGTTAGTGCTACCTTTTAGGGTTATCTAAACCCATTCATGACTTTATTGTCTGTATATATTGTGGGAGTTATAATCTGTGGGTCTTGAATTATATAGAAAGTAAAATTTACATGTAACTTCCCCACATGATTTTCATTACAGTGTATAATATTTGATTGACCGATTGGTTGTATATGTTGTTTCATGTCCCATTTGAGAATTTCTCACTCATATGAAAATGTCACCATGTACAAATGAAGGGCAGTTTACTTTATTAAGAATGACAATGGATGCCATTGAGCAGTGAAGGTTCTTTATCTTGCTAATGCCTACCATATGAAAGTATATGTGTATTCGGTTTTTAAGGTCTGAACCAAAAGACCTACAACTTTCACTTTAAGGTGCCAAGCCCTTTGCGAAGGAACAGTTGGAACAGTACCCATAATTTATCTTCTTTAACAGATTTAGGTCACAGCTGAGATTCGAAGTCATGACCGTCTGATCACAGAGTGAACACCCTACAGACTGACACTGAGATTACCTTCAATGCTTATGTTTTTTTTAGCGTACTGTAGATCACTAAATTTTCGCGACACCTTATTTTCGCGAGATAGTCTTTGACTCTTGATTAGTGAGACAAACTTTTCACGAATTGTGGATATTGCTCTATATAATCTTAGGGAATACTATTATATGCGAGAATTAAATTTTCGCGAGCACACTGTCTTGCGTAGTTACGCGAAAATAAAGTTCTCACAAATAAAAAGTGATTCACAGTACCTGAGCTGAATTAGCTCAAGTAACATTTTGTGATCACCTGTTGTCCTTCATCCATCCATTTGTCTGTAAACTTTTTACATTTTCATCCTCTTCTCAAGAACCACTGGGCCATTTCTAACCAAAGTTGATACACTTATTAAGCATCCTTAAGTGACAGGAAATGAAAATACATGTAATTAAAATCAAGGGCCAAGCCCCTCTTCAAGGGGAGATAATCAAGAAAAGACATAAATAGGGTGGGATTATGGTGAGATCATAAATTATTCTAAAGAACCACTGGGCCAGAAAAGCAGAATTACTTATGTGAAAGCATCTTTAAATAATGTAGATTTTATATTGTTCAAATCATGGTCCCTTTGGGAAGGAGGCCACAATAGGGAATCCAAGTTTTACATTGAAATATGTGGATATAACAAACAGTATTTGAGCTCAAAAGTCCAATAATTAGTCCATTAAACATTTTAAAATAGGAGCAAAAACGGACCTCCCAAACATCAGAGGTGGGATCAGGTGCCATGGAGAAGTGAGAATTTCCTGCCGACCGGTCACACCTACTGTGTGCTCCTTGTCATGTTTTGGGGGGGGGGAATGGAAAACTCTGTGGACAACTCAGTGTGTAAAAAATGGACTAACAATCAGTCAGTCAGCATTTGATTTAATGATAAATTGTATTTGCTGGCAAGGAAATTTTATCAACCAATTAGAACATAAAAATATTTTGGAAAAAATCTTTAGAATCCTCTCAAGAACCACTAGGCCAGAAAATCTGACACTTATATTGAGGCATCCAGGGATACGTGTAGATTCAAAATTCTGGAAATCATAGTCCCAAAGGGTAGTGTGGGGCCACAATGTGTATAACAAAGGGAAATCAGGTGAAGAACAGCAGGGCCAAAGTTACTCAGGTGAGTGATATGGCCCATGGGCCTTTTGTTAGGTTATATTGAATATTAAGACATTAAGGCCTTTCGTTTCTTTTAAATTTAGGTTATCTTTCAAGTGGCCTTGACAATCCTGGACAATAAGCAGGAGGAGCTATTGGAGGCCCGTGAGGAGGGGGAGGCGATGACCATACTGAGCTCCTACCTAGAGAACATCACAAATAAAGACTCCACAATGCCCCACATTGCTCACACTAGCTCCATGTGTGGAAGTCTCTCAGAGAAGAAAGAGGTAAAAAAAATAAACATGACAACTATCAGTAATCATCCCAGTTCAATTTTGATTGGGGGACACTATTACCAATCACATGTTTGAGTTGCTGAATGTGACCTACATTCTAAAGTTTAATCTGAGCACACCTCTTATAAGTTATTGTTTTGGAAGCAATTGGCAAGAGGTGGTGTTAAATACAAATTATGGAATCTTTAATTTTCTAAGTGGGTCTATGTGTACAGTCCCTGAAACGTTCTACTTTCCTAATTGAACGTTGAACGAACGCTGAACACTGAATAAATACTTGGAATGATTATTAAGTTTAATATTAAATTTGAAACAAACTTCCTGCCAATTTAAAATACCACCATCTGCACATGTATATTTTGAAGTTTGAACTACTGTTTGTTTTGTGACATAAATTTTTGTGTGACAGTACACATTAACTTCTTTTGAAATGTTAATTAAAATATACTGAAAATACTGAGTATATGATTTAGCCGGGGAAAAGGCGGCGGGAGGGGGCATCTTAATCATGCCGAATGGCAAACATATAGAGTTACAGTGAATGATTTTTTTCCTCACTCTTATTATAGATTCTTTTATATGTAAAATACAAAAAATTCTATATTGTATTACATTTTAAACAAATGATTTTTTAAAAAGTTTAAAAGCACTGGTAGAAAAACAAGATGTCTTTGTGAAACACCGATGCCCCTGTATGGCAGCTAATGGCAAGGGTTGAAGTTTCTCAAATTCAAGTGAACCTCCAAGGTCAAGGTCAAAATTGTTGATATCCAAAGGAGGGTCTTGCGACAAGAAATACACCTGTGAGATATGAAAGGCCTAATACTAATTGTTCAAATGACCAAGGTTTAAATTTGGTAATTTTTTGTAAAGTGAACTCCAAGGTCATGGTTAAGAGGTCAAATTTGGTGGTATCCAAAGAAAAGTCTTTTCACAAGGAATACACTTGTGAAATATGGAAGCCATAGCCCCACCCACTCAAAAGTTATGGGCAAGGTTAAAGTCTTTTGTGGACAAACAGACAGAAAGACAGATGCACAGACAGGGCTAAAACTATATACTCTAAACTTCAATTACGTGGGCATAAAAATGTAAATTTATTCTTGTGTGGCCCAGAACTTCACAATAAAGAAGCAAAGGAAATTCAAACTTCATACAAAAATACTTAAGTTTTAAAGATGAACCATGACCTTGACGAAAGATCATTTGAGCAAACTGAAAATCCAAGGTCACTTTAAGATGTTTTTTGGTATTTGGAAAAAAAATTGTACTGAGGGATGAATATCTTTGTGAGCTTTTTTATATAGTACATTTATAGTTTCTTTTATGTATTCATTATTATAGATATTAAAATCTAATATTTCAAGAAACATAATCAATATGATATAATGACACATCTTTAAGAGGCCGAGTCTAATTATTTCTACTCTAGAGATTTTGATAATTTTTCCTTAATAAATTTATACTGTTATATTTATTGTTTTAAGATTAAAAAATCGAATGTTTACCACCCAGACTTTTTAGGGGACCATCTCAAAGTTGTGAAATTTTACTACATAATATATTGGACCCTATGGGAATTTGTTGGAAAAATGCCAAATTATCACATTTTTTTCATATTTTTTGTACATGTATATCTGAGATTTTTTCCTCAGTCAAGTAGATGAAAGTTATTGTTAAAATTAAGTCACTAAATTGTGAAATTTCAGAAAAGTTGACCATCTAGATTGGTCTGTATCTTAATTAATTATAAAGTTTATTTTTTCCATGCCTAATACCTCTAATTTAAAATTGCCATTTTACAGTATAAATACATATTAGTGCAGATGGATTATCGGTACAGATAATTTTTCTAGTAAGAAATAGCAATAATAAGATTGGAAGTATGTTTCTTTTGATGTTCTGTCATCAGTTTTTAGCTCACCTCAACGAAGTTGGGGGAGCTTATGTAATACCCTCGGCGTCCCCGTCCGCGTCGGCGTCGGTGTCGGCGTCCCAGGTTAAGTTTTTTGGAGCAGTTTTCTTTTAAAGTACTTCTATGTCCTATATTGATTAGACATGCTTGGAAGAGGCTTCTAGTGTGTTTCATTGTACCAGTCAAAGTTTCAGATGCTGCAATTTCAGCAGAGGAATGACCAGGTTAAGGTTTTTGGAGCAGGTTAACATTTTTGGTGCAGTTTTTGGTGTTGGTGTCATTTCCAAGGAACTATAAGCCCTATGTTGACCAAACTTGCATGGATGATACATCTAAGGATGTACACTACCGGGTTTGATTCGGATGCTGAATCTGACCTACATTTTCCGGTTGAGTGAACAGGTGAATGTTTTTGGTGCAGGTCTCATTTCCAAGTAACTATGAGAACTATAATGACTAAACTTGCATGGATGATACATCTAAGGATGCACACTACCAGGACTGCTTCGGATGCTGAATCTGACCTACATTTTCTGGTTGAGTGAACAGGTTAAAGTTTTTGGTGCAGGTCTCATTTCCAAGTAACTATGAGCACTATAATGACTAAACTTGAATGGATGATGCATCTAAGGATGCATACTACCAGGCTTGCTTCGAATGCTGAATCTGACCTACATTTTTCGGTTGAGTGAACATGTTAAAGTTTTAGGTGCAGTTCTCATTTCCAAGATACTTTGAGCCCTTTTATGATCAAACTTGCATGGATGGTACATCTATTAGGATGCACACTACCAGACTTACTTTGGATGCTGAATCTGACCTACATTTTCCGGTTGAGTGAACAGGTGAAAGTTTTTGGTGCAGGTTTCATTTCCAAGTAACTATGAGCACTATAATGAGCAAACTTGCATGAATGATACATCTTAGGATGCACACTAATGGACTTGCTTCGGATGCTGAATTAGACATACATTTTTCAGATAATGGACCAGGTAAAAGTTATGGGTGCAGGTCTATTACCAAAAAACTATAAGGCTTATATACATTGTATAAACCAAACTTGCACAAATGATGCATCAAGGGATGAAACTCTCAAATTTGCTTCAGATGCTGGATTTTAATTACATTTTCATGAAAAAAAAAACTAGTTTGAAGGTTTTATATAGCTCTATTCCAAAGTATCAGATCAAAATTGCATAAATATTTTCATTTTGGGATGTACCCTTTTTTTTGGTGAATTGTGTGACTTTGCCTTACTTAAAGACAACATTCGTTGAGGTGAGCTCTGTAATCTCTGATTACCTATGTTTAGTATAATATCCATGCATGGACATCTACAAACATATAAGCGAGTCATGTGTCATTCTTTAGCATCGTGCGTTGCTTACAAAATCGGAAAACAGCCATTTCAGCGTTTTTTTCATAATATGTTGTTATAAAATCTCATTTTCAGGCCAGTAGGTGTTACAGATAATGTTAATTTTATATCAAAATCACAATATTTGGGAAAGGTGTACTGTCGTATTTATGACTGCATGAAATTAAAAAGCTGCACAAAGTCATGCACACTCAAATTATACTCAACCTCGTTAAATAGTTAAATGTATTTATTTTTTTCTTCCATTTTTCTAGCCCAGTGTTGATGTGGCTGTTCTGATAGATGATAGCTACAGAAAGTATGGACACATAAGTAACGAAGATATAGACAAACTTAGACTGAAGTACCGTCTTCGAGTAGTGCAGGTTAGTGTTGACAGTATCATACAACCAAAACATATAACTTACCAAGACATAGACAACAAAGACTGAAGTTCTGTCTTCAAGTAGTGCAGGCTAGTGAAGACAATATCACACAATCATATAACTGATTTATCATGAAATGCCCAAAATATTTAGCAGTTCAAATTCTTTGAAGTGTAGAATAGAAATTAGATCATATAGGTTGTATAAAGTAAGCACTGTTCAGAAAAGGGAAGACTTGCAAATCCAAGACTCTTGATTTTGTTTGTGTGATGTAAGAGTTTCAAATATTGTACACCTTGTTAATTTTTTTTAGCATATTGAGGACAGCACAAAGAAAAATGTACTCAGAAGTGTTCAAACCCACACGTTGTTCAAAGGCAAAGAGCTAGAGGATTTATTTGTTCTGTTCAAGGTAAATGTGATATGTTCACCATAATAAAGGGCAGGTTACGTATGGTATGTGGTTCATACCTCCTTTAGCTTATATAAGTATGTGTTCACATTGTCAGGTTGATAATTGTCAACAGGGGATGCTTGCTCCTTTTTGGCATCTGATCCCTGCACTTCCGGTACTGTCCTGTTCATGGATATTTGTTGTTTGTGGGTTGAGATTGATCACTGTATGTTATCTTGACCTAATTTAGTATGAGCATAAAAAATGTCCCAAATGCAAATTTCAAGCCATTAAGACCAAAAAAAAAAATATATGAATTATCAGCCTCTGGAAGTTGACGCTGTAACCCTACCAACAACATTGTTAGGAGATATCTGGAGTCAGAAGGAAACAAATTTTTACCACAAGAATTTGAATGTAAATAAATGTTAATCTTATTGTCTGTAAACTTTTCACATTTTTAACATCTTCTCAAGAACCACTGGGGCAATTTTAACCAAAGTACAGTGAAACTCGGTTATAGCGAAGTCCTTGGGACCTGTGAATTTAATTCGCTATATCCGTAATTCGTTATATCCGTATAACGAATTCGTAGAACCATTATAGCGAATTCGCAATATGCATGTTTTCCTTCAAGTATTACTACCAAATATGTTTGGGAAGCAAATATTACAAAAATTATCTTCGATAACTAAGGTTTTATTATGAATTGAATTTTATATACGAATGCTAAAAGGAAATAAAGTTTGTTCAACATTTCAATTTTTTTATAATCTTGAGAAGTTCGTTATAAAAGATGTAAATTTTATTATATTTAACCTCAACGGGACTCAAAATCAGTTCGCTATATCCGTAAATTCGTTATATCAAAGTTCGTTATAACCGTAAAATTTTACAAAGAGTTGTTAAGAATTTTGCCGGGGATCCAGAAAAACTTCGCTATATCCTTGAATTCGCTGTATCCGTGTTCGTACTAAACGAGTTTTACTGTACAGAGCATTCTTGGGTGAAGGGGAGTTAAAATTGTTAAAATGAAGGACCAGACCTTTTACAAGGGAGGTAATCAAGAGAAGATAAAAATAGGTTGGGGTCATTATGTAAAATATCTTCTTCTTAAGGACCACCGGGCCAGAAAAGCTGGAAGTATCCTGGGGTAGTGTAGTTTCTAAATTGCTAAAATCATGACCTCCAGGGGTAGGGTAGGGCCGCAATAGGGAAATTAAGTTTTTCATGAAATTATATAGGAAATTTTCTTTGAAAATCTCCTCAAGAACCACTGGACCAGAAAAGTGGAAGCATCCTGGGGTAGTGGAGATTTTAAACTGTTCAAATCATTGCCCCAGGATGTCTGACAGGGCCACTGTATTCAAATGCAATTTTTACATTGAAATATCTAGGAAAAAATATTTTAAAATATTCCTCTCAAGAACTACTGGATCAGAAGAGCTGAAACTTATGTAGGAACATCCTGGGACAGTGTAGATTTTAAATTGTTCAAATCATGACCCCTAGGGGTAGTGTGGGACCACAATAGGTATTACAAATTTGAAAATCAGGTTACGAACAGCAGAGCCAAAGTTACTAAGGTGAGTGATGTGACCCATGGGCCTCTCATTTAAAGATTGCCCAAACATAAAAAGAATTATCTGCAGTTATAGTCAGAAGTTAATTTGTAAAACATGGGCCCAGATATACATTTTGCCAATAAAATTAAGGTACATTTATTCTTATATAATAATTACAGAAAGAAAACAATATAAATTATGAAGTCTCGAGGTGCTAATTTAATTATACGTTGAGCTTTTATTACTGGGAGTATGTGCAGTAGGACACAGACAAATAAGAGTCGTTATCGTAAAGGCCGTGTCACTATGTCACGATTTTTGCCACAATAACCCACTAAATACTGTAACTAATATGTTTTTTTCTTGAACTGATTTTACCAATTCTGAAATGTATGGAAAAATTTGGGCAAAGGGAAACAAAAACTGTAACTTTAATTACTTCTTTCTGTCTTGGAACCTGAGGTACTGTGGACCATGTCCTGACACATTAATGATCAGTCTTCAGAAAATAGATAATTATTTTTCATGGCTTGAACTTGCAGTCAATCTGTATATGTTTAATGAACCCCCTCTACCTAAGCCGTGAATTTCATGAGTTATGTTTCAATTAAGCCTTAGTGTACATGTTTGTCCAAGTGAATCAGAGATAGAAAATGCATTTATTTTTAGTCAAAAGCGTTGGTTTTGGTCATGTTGAAAAAGGTGAGACAAAAGCAAAGTTTCTTCCTCCCCCCCAATTCCTCTCTTGATTTTAGTGTGTCAATAATTCAGCATTTTTTGTTTACAGGAGGAGTATCTGACCTCATGTTACTGGAGGACTAGTCAACAACCAGCTGACATGGGAGACAAATTTGACCCCTCCCGACCTTACTTTGAGATGTACAAGGTGGATTTTGAGCAGTTCAAAACCATGTACCTATCTCTCTCTCCTTGGGCCTCAGGACAAAGAGCAGGCCACCTAGCTCTCAGGACATTTAAGGTATCTAACTAATTGCCAGAGCTTCCATAAATTTGATCTGATACCATAACTTTGGTCTGTTGCCATTCTCTTGCAGTATCTTATGGTTCTTTCATGGAGAACTTTCTATCCTTTTTTTTTTAGTTTCTGGATGATAATAAAGACAACATGATAAACTTCAGGGAGTTTGTTTACGTGCTTGGTGTCATATGTAAAGGGGACATAACTCAGAAGCTGAAGCTGCTCTATCTCCTTCATCAGTTACCTCCCCATGAATTGGAGAGCATGCCTACTTCACCCCCAGTGTCTCCAGCTAGTACAAAGACAGGTAACCAATCAGTGCACATGTAACAAACTTCATGGGGCAAAAAACTACCAAATGAATTGTACTTAAGGCCAAAAAAAAATAATCAATAGTTTCTCAGGCACCGCCGCATCAGTCCAAAAACGGCCGCGTTGATCAATTTTATTGACATATTGAAAAGGTATAAATAATTCAATTTTCTATTTTTCAAAGTTGAACAAGAAAATCGAGTTATTCCCCTTTTCATAATTGCCAAGATAGACGTTTTTATTAGAAAAACAATATACTTCTTCTAAATTTACAGTATTTTATAAATTAACTTTTAATTAAATGTTTGGAATAACATTATTGAAAGTTGAATACATATTATAACTAATTTCAGAGACAAAAATTAATAATTAGTATGAATTATCATTTTTATGAACAAATGGCTTAAAAAGGTGAAAAACCTGCTTCAAAAAAAAAAGGCCTGCCTGCTGCATTGAATTTTGAATTCTTTGGCCTGAGAAACTATTGATTAATTTTTTTTGACCTAAAACTATTTCTGAAATATCATGAGCAGTAATGTTACAAAGTGTTGTTTATGTCAAAAAGGTACTGTAGATCACTTAATTTTTGCGACACCTTATTTTCGCGAGATAGTCATTGACTCCTTATTTATCGAGACAAAATTTTCACGAATTGTGGTCATTGCTCTATATAATCTTAAGGAATTCTATAATACGCGAGAATGAAATTTTCGCGAGCATTCCGTCTGGCGTAATTACGCGAAAATAAAGTTCTCGGGAATAAAAAGTGATTTACAGTAATTATTTTATTTTCTTTGAATTAAATTAAGTAATCACTGTTGTATTTTTTGATTTCATGATGTGATCAATCGATTGGCTTGCCTGATAATTTGCATAAATGCCGAAGTTTAAGCCAATCAATTGATCATCGTCATGAAATTGAAAAATCTGAAGTTATTCCTTATCTTTACATGGTATTGATTCTGCCAATCCACATTCTAGAAGCCCCACTTCTTGTCTCTGTTCCGCCCTGCACGTGATTTTTTTTTTTAACTGTGCCTATAGATGAACCAGTACATAGATGGAGAAATAAAGTACATTAACTATTTGTAATTATTTCTCAAACAAAGACATTGGAAATGTAAATATTATGATGTCAACTATGAAGTGTTGTAGCATTCAACAGTATAAATGTTTTAGATAAAGGTATCGAAATCCCTTTCTGAAAAATATTTACTGAAACATTATTTTATTTGTAGTTCATTTGTCATGATTTGTTATTTGTTTAATATAATATCATGAAATGCAGAATTAGAGTTTATAAAATCTTTACACAATAATTTAAAAATAATTTCAACTGTAGGTAATTAGTGATGCCGCACATAATTTTAAAAAAATAAATTAGTTAAAACACATGACACCAACTATGTACTGTACAAAAGTTATGTAAGAAATGGTTACAATGTTTCTGCTATCCCTGGAGAATTCCCCTTAATAAGTGTAAACCTTACTGCAGATCAAGTTTCCTGAATGTTTTTTTTTTTACATTTAAAATTAAATTGAGATTGTGATGATGTATTACAGAGAGTCCAGAGAATGCCATGGAGGCTACAGATTTCTTTGACAGTGATACCAGCTCAATGGATGCCCTACAAGATGGTCAGTATTAAAAAAAGATGTATAGCAATCATCACAGGAATAATTATTGATCATCCATCCTTCATGACCTCAATATCATTTCTGTAGATTTAGTATGGAATAATTCAGTGTTTTGAATTCAATATGATGATTTACCGGTAGGTACTTCCTAAGTACAGCAAAACTCGGTTATAGCGAAATCCTAGGGACCTGTAAATTTAATTTGCTATATCCGTAATTCGTTATAACCGTATAACGAATTCGTAAAACCAAATAGAGCGAATTCGCAATATGCAGGTTTTCCTTCAAGTATTACTATCAAGTATGTTAGGGAAGCAAATATTCCAAAACATACCTTCAATAACTAAGGTTTTATTGTGAATTGAATTATATATACAATTCCATGAACAAAAATAAGTCAGTTCAATTTATTAAATTTTGAGATCTTTGAAAGTTCGTTATAAAAGATGTAAATTTCATTATATTCAACTTCAACGAGACCCAAAATCAGTTCGCTATATCCGTAAATTCGTTATATCAGAGTTCGTTATAACCGTAAAATTTTATAAGGATTTGTTAAGAATTTTGCCGGGGACCCAGAAAAACTTCGCTATATCCGTGAATTCGCTATATTGTTCGTATACTAAACGAGTTTTACTGTACAATTTTCACATGGCCCAGAGAGCATTTAGTGAATATTGAACTATCATTGTAGCTTAATTATTGTATCCCCCAAAGAAACTTTGTTTTAATTAATTATGTTTATTTAAGGAATCACTCTTTAGTTTGTTGGGTATGTAAGGGCATTGACTCATAATAACTGAGAATTTGTCTAGATAAGTTTGTTGGGTATGCCAATTTTAAAGCATCAACTATAGTTGGTAATCTTTCTAGTTTGTTGGGAATGCCAGGGTATCAACTATAGTTGATGATTTGCATAACGGGCATGTTATGCATAAGTAATCCCATGTTTCCAACTACCGTTGATGTCGCTGGCATATATACTAGACAGTAATTCCTTGTACATGTATTTCCATTTCATTGTGATATAAGATTTTAAAGTTAGATGATACATGTAAAATGTTGTCTAATAGATTTAAATTAGACAGACACACAAGATTTACATGCAAATTATTCCTTAGCTCATGACCTTTCACCTGGCGAAATTTACACTCCTGTTTAATGACTTTTAAAGAAATCAACTCCCCTAACTTTCAAAGAGTTATCACAGAGAAAAATAATGGAAATAGTATGCAATATGGTACGTTGTTATCACATTTTCTGAAATGAATATGTAAAAAAAAAACTGAAACATGTATCACACATCAGACTTAGGGTAGGCAAAATTGAGTCATCTAAGTGGAGTAAAACATGATTGTATATTTGAGTCTACTTTAAAGTTTCATAAGTTTTCATTTGGAATAATACCTTTACGTTTTTTTTTTTGTTTTTTTTTCTGCTACAGAAATAACTCTACCTGGGGATCCTATTACAGAAGAAAAAGATGAGGAAAAGAAGGAAGAATTAGAATCAGAAGCCAGTGCAGAAGACCAACCCCAGTCTGAGGCTGCTAGTCAGGAAAAGGACAGCAATAAGACAGACACACAGGGAGCAGAGAGTGGTGGATCCAAGATTGTGGGGAGTGGGCCCTCGGGTGATGAGGGATTGGATATTATACAGAAGTCTGTAGAGGGAGGCACAGCCCAGAAAGGTAATGGTCAATTAAAAAGTAGAAGCATATAACAAAGAAAATTAATTACTGGTAAAGTGTTATCATGAAAATACATGGTCTTCATTAGGGTTTGATTTTATTGAATTGCAGCCTACAAATTAGACTGTGGAATCATCATTTTTTTTGGGGGGGGTGTGTGGTAAATGTTTGTGGATTTTGTGGTTATCATCCACAAATTTATAATTCCTCGAACAATTATTTTGTCAATATATTTATTCTTTGAGTATGAGGTATCCATGAAATTTAATTGAATAACATGGTAATCAAGTTCGATTTTGCTGTACAATTTTCCTATTTTTAATATTTTTCATTTATATTCATGCTTACTTATGAAAAATATACTCATAGAGATTACTTTGAACATTCAAATAATCATAAAAACATATAATAAGTGAATTTTAATACCTTTATATATTTAAGGAATCACTGTCTAGTTAGTGTAGTATGCCAGGGCATCAACAATAATGGGAAACATGGATACTTTGCATAACGGGTGAGCCCGTTATGCATAAATTATCCCATGTTTCCAACTATCGTTGATGTCCCTGGCATACTATACTAAGTAGACAGTGATTCCTTATATTTCCATTTCATTGTGAAATAAAACTGTAGATTTAGACTTTAAAAATGTAGATTTAAATTACGAGGACTCTCATGCCATGCAATTCAACAGTCCTCACCCACTGACGTCAAACACAAAGGCAGCCGCACGAAATTTACATGCATATTTGGCCTCTTTAGCGTCAGATACAGAGACTGATGCGCACGAGATTTGCATGCATATTAGGCCTCCTTAGCTCCTGACCTATCGACCTGCCTAATTTACATTCCAGCAGAATTATCAAGAAATCAACTCTGCTAACTTTCAAAGAGTTATCACAGAGAAAAAAATTAGAAATGGAAATATTATATAATCACTGTGAATGCACTGACACAGTCCTAACTAAACAGACTTGGCTGTCATTACATCACAATGGTTAAAAACACGCTTCTTATATTATGACGTCACATTCTACGTAACTTCAGTGCAACTGAACGCTGTGTCGTTTGATATGATTTTCCGCCGACGCGCTTTCATGTCGATATCACAAAAGGAGGAATATCACTTGACGTCCTTTCAGCCAGTGAAAATTATGAAAATAATCTTCTTATTTAATATTAAATATTATCATCAAGCTTCAGAACATTGACACATGCATGCACAAAATATTGTGTATCATATTATTGTAGAATTAATATGGCATGTTGGTTTATCTTATTATCAATTTGTTAACAGGCTTTTACACATGAGTCATAACAAGTATCTTAATTTTTAGTTTATAAATACGTAATTCTTGAATTTTGGTTCAGGTACAGTATAGCATATTTTTTCTTCAAATTTATCCAAATATTTTGTTTAATCATATCAAAATAATGCTTGGAATGAGAAGGTTATAAAGAAATATACACTAGCTGTTCTTGATAAGAATTTTTTTTTATCAATGATAAAATAATAAAATTCCATTCTTTTTCAAGAACGAAAAAAAGCTTACAATCCATCAGTTATAGTTGTTCAGTATCAGGTCTTTTTAATTTAAACATTTTGTTTGCATCTGTATTGGAAAGCAGGGGAATTTCCTCTTTTATCAGTGTCAATCTGTTATGCAAACTGAGCAATTTGATAAGGTTAAAATAAATAATGTTTCGTAACATCACATGTACATGCACACCATCTAACAATGAAAAGTTTGAGGGAAACGTGTCTGCTTTACTGTCTGGATAAATAATGAAATACAGATTCATGAAATAACTCCATTTTATACTTATTTGTTTGAAAGAATGATATTTCTCTGAGTGTCCAGTGAGAAATTTAAATTGACAAAGTAATGAAGGAATCCATACATGTTAACCTCCAGTATGATGGCCATTGGGAGATATATGTAACTCTTGCTAAAATTGTTTGCATTGAAACCTGTCTATATTCATTCTTTTTAGCACAGATTTCTTTGGAAACCTTAATCCAAATGAAAAAAAGCTGCAACAAAGTCAAACAAATAAAATCACCAAGATGGAAAGAAAAATAAAAGAATTAGGTTAAGATTATGCAAAAGAACTGAATTTGTAGTAAGAAAGCAAGATTATTTATAAAAAATTCAGAAACAAAAATTGCTTAATTAGGAAGCCCTATATTATGGTCTATTTCCTTATGAAACATTTTTCATAATGGTTTCTGTATTTTATTGTTTTCCTTTTAGAAGCAGAGCTTCAAGAGAATTTAAAGAAGGTATATGCAAAGAAAAAGGAACTTAACAGAAGTGACAGTAAAGCGGAGTTCAAGGATGTACCCAGAATGTCTCAGGTGAGTCTGTAAGACTGTAATCTAGGTCAAGGTTAATTAACTAATGTAAATCTGTGCTTTAGGTCAAGGTTAATTAACTAATGTAAATCTGTGCTCTAGGTCAAGGTTAATTAACTAATGTAAATCTGTTCTCTAGGTCAAGGCTAATTACCTAATGTTATTTGTGCTCTGGGTCAGGGCTATTTAACAAGTAAATCTGGACATTAAGTCAATGCTCATTACCTTCTTAAATTGAGTTGCTAGGTCAAGGCTAACTACTTACATAAATTTAGGCGCTAGGTCAAGGCAAATCACATGAACCTAATGTAAATTTGGGCTCTATGTGAAAGTTTTCAATCTACTGTCTATCTGTTTAAGGTCAAGGTTGTCCCCCATTGTTTGTCTGCATGTCATGCCAAAGTTTTCAACCTATTGTCATTCTGTAAAACAGTTCAAGGTTTAGATTCTACATGAAGTTTCTTTGCACTAGGTAAAGGCTGGCAACCCATTGTTAGTTTATTCAGCCATTCAAGGTTGACAGCCCATGTCAGTCTGTAGATCAGGTCAAGGCTAACTACCCTAGTCAGGGTTGTCAACCCTATGTCAGTTTAATCATCATGTCAAGGTTGTCAACCCAGTTTCAGTTTATTTATCAGGTCAAGGTCAACCTATTGTCAGTTTAATTATAAGGTCAAGGTTGTCAACCCAATGTCAATTTGCATATCAGACTGTGCACTAGGTCAGGGTTTTCAATCAAATATATATTTTCATACCAGTTAGACCAATTAATTTATGCATGTCTGTGCCTGTATGAAGGTTGTACACCTGTACACCCAATGTAAGTATGTAAACTAGCTCAAGAAATACAACCCAATGTCATTTTATATTTTGTAGTGACCTTGCAAGGACATTATTAAAGCATCAGTTTGTTCACATGTTTAGTGCTCAAGGATATAAGTTTTTCATAATCAACAGGATGAAAGCTAACAATATAAAGTTTTAACATATTATTCTCACTGTGGTTGAAGGCCCCTTCGATCTTTCAATGCATTTGTACATGTATGATTAATCTTTGCTTCTCATTTTGAAACTTCTTGTTGACAGCATAGACCTGCTATAGGTCTATGTTGACAGCCATTATAATTTGAGATTAAGTGAAAACTGTTAATTAATAGAAATTACATTAAAATATGCAGTTAATGATACATGTACAACAATTTCGTTTGTTCTTTTCAGGCTCAGTTTATTGACTTGTGGAGAACACTCTATGACCTTTTTTCGGATAATGATCAGGAACAACAACTTTATCATTCCATTGCATCTGTTGGGACGTTGTTATTAGAAATGGGAGAAGTTGGTAAAAGATTCTACCTCCAGAAGTCAGTTTCAGAGAGCAGTACGGGAGAAACCAGCTCCACGGGACTAGAGGGTCTGACAGAGGAAGTAGAGAAGCTCAAAATGGACCAATCACAGAGCTCGTCTGATGAGAGCAAGGAATCTGTAAAGGAGGAGACATGTTCGACTCAAATGGACAGCACAAAACCTGAAGAGGGATCCTCACCATACACCAGAAACTCATATTCTAAACCTGACTCTGATTGGTCAATTAGTTTTGAGCAGATGGTTGCATCTTTGCTAACAGAACAGCCATTGGTCACCTTTTTTGAGAAACAAGTGAATGTATCTGAGGCTGTGTCAAAAATGAGAAACCGTAGGCTCATAACAAGACAATCTAGTCACTTTCCAGAAAAGAAAAAGTAATATGTATACACAAAATTTTACATGTATACACAAAATTTTAGGGTAGAGCATTCTTACATTGGGGTCAGGTAAATGTAGACATTGCTTCAATCTATTTTACATCAGGCAATGTAAATTTACCAGGTTAATTAAAAATATTTAAAATTAAGTAATTTTAATTAATTAATAATTTTAGGGGTACTGATCTGTGTTTTCCATTGCATGCATGCAATTTTACTGCTATATCGCCTTAAGATGTACACTGAATGTGCAATAAACATTTGTATATGTGGGCATTTAAAATGTCATTGAAATTTCAAATGGCAATAGAAACCACTGATAGTTTAAATAAATGATGGACCAGGTGTTTAATCATCTTATATCATGATATTAAAATATTATTGAATGATGGTTAACATGTGAAGCTTTAGGTTATTGTTCCTTATTTTTTGTTCCCAATTATTTTCAAAAAGTAGAACATGTTTTATTAAGGAGATTTTTTAAAGTATATGTTGTGTTTGATGGGAAATTGAGTTTGGATATATATCTTAACTTTACTTTGACTTTAGTTAGGGAAGAGATGTAAATGTGATTATGAAGAGTGCTTTACAAGTAGGAATAAAAAAGAATAAAGAAAAAAATTAAGATTTTAATGAGTGTTTTTATGATACTTTCTACACCTTTGCCCTAATTGTAAAGCACAATAAAAAAAACCATGTCTAAAGAAACTCTTGATTCTTATTCATAGGATGCAGTAATCTTATGCAGGGAAAACAAATTAGCTTCAGCTTGAAAATGTTTTATGTTTTGTACCACTCAGATGTTTGCTTCAAACTTGTGGGATTTGTTTTTGGACATTGTATATATATTTCCTAGATGAATGAAACTACTTTGTTCTTCTTACATATTTTTTCACCATTTGATTTATACTTTTAAAGTTTCATTACTAGATAAACATTTTCATGACTCAATCAGACGTAACTGGCTCAATGAGATATATACATTTTTTATACTGCATGCAAAACATATATAAATGCATTCATGGTTTTTCTTGAGATTTTGCAGTATAATTGCTCTCTTACAGTGTGACTGACAGGCACTGAAGTATTTTATGTGTCCAAGTAGACTTCATTCTTCCACCAAAACAAATGAGTTTATGCTCTCCATTAGTTGGTTATCTTAAGCCTTTTGCTTCATGCAATTTTCATTCAATATAAAATACTTATTTTCAAAATATTGATATTTGTCTATATGGCTATTCTCAATATACCATATGACAGTGGTTAATGCATTGTTTTGTCTGTGAAAATTTTATTAGAATTATCTGTACATGTACATATATCTATGAATGTTTTAAATGTTTTGGGGATGAATAATGTACATGCACATGCAAAATTTATAAGTGATAAGTAAAAACCTATTGTGCAATATTAGTGGGTGTAAAACATCACAAAATAAATCAAAGTTTATCGAGTTTGGTTCTATCTCTGTTGTGTATTTAATCGAATTTCATGCTTGATTTTCACAAATTCGCAATCCATTTTAATGAGACTTCTTCATATTCAACTTGAAGAGTTGGCTATTTTCGTATTTTTTATGAAGAATTCTGCATACTATGATGTCTTATTGGACCTCCAATATGCCCAAGGATCACAGCAGGTCCATGGACCTCAAAGCTCACCTGAGTTTTTTCTTTGGATTTCCAAAATGAGTTTTATATTCCCATGAAAAATACAGAGCTTATATTAGAACCTCTAACTCTTAGGGTCTCTGAATCTAAACAAATTTGTGATGCTTCAATATTAATATCATCAGTTTCACCTTTCAGTTTTAATTAACGAGGCCGAGTCTAATTCGAGTACGTATGACTTTGCGCAGCTTTTTATTTTCATGCAGTCATAAGTGGGACAGTACACCTTTCCCAAATATTGTGATTTTAATGTAAAATTAACATTATCTGTAGCGCATACTGGTCTGAAAATGTGATTTTACGACATTAATTAGTAAAAAAAAACAACGCTGAAATGGCTCTAACCACGTCACTGTTTTCCGATTTTGTAAGCAATGCACGACACTGAAGAATGACACATGAATCGCGTATATGTTCGTAGTCGTCCATGGATATTGTACTAAAAAATGATAACAGAACATCAAAAGAAACATATTAGCAATCTAAATATTGCTATTTTTTATGAACAAAAATTATCTTCGTCGATAATTCATCAGCACCAATATATATTTATACCGCAATGCGGCAATTTTAGAGGTACTGGGCAGCGAAAAAATAAACTTTGTAATTAAGACCGGGAACCAGTCAAACCGTTCCCCACGAAAACCGTCCCGGTCAAAGCGTTCCCAGATTTTGGTCAATGCGTACCATGATTTTGGTCAAAATGTCCCCTGATTTTGGTCAAAGCGCCCCCTGACATATTTTATTGAAAAACGAAGTTTCTAAACCGCCCCCCAATTTTGGTCAAAATGTCCCCTGATTTTGGTCAAAGCGCCCCCTGACACATTTTATTGAAAAACGAAGTTTCCAAACCGCCCCCAAATTTTGGTCAAAATGTCCCCTGATTTTGGTCAAAGCGCCCCCTGACACATTTTATTGAAAAACGAAGTTTCCAAACCGCCCCCAAATTTTGGTCAAAATGTCCCCTGATTTTGGTCAAAGCGCCCCCTGACATATTTTATTGAAAAACGAAGTTTCCAAACCGCCCCCCAATTTTGGTCAAAATGTCCCCTGATTTTGGTCAAAGCGCCCCCTGACATATTTTATTGAAAAACGAAGTTTCTAAACCGCCCCCCAATTTTGGTCAAAATGTCCCCTGATTTTGGTCAAAGCGCCCCCTGACATATTTTATAGAAAAACGAAGTTTCCAAACCGCCCCCCCAATTTTGGTCAAAATGTCCCCTGATTTTGGTCAAAGCGCCCCCTGACATATTTGTACATGTGTACTCATTTTTCGTTTAATAAAAAAGAATATACCCATTCCTCCGCCCCCTGACATATTTGTACATGTGTACTCATTTTTCGTTTAATAAAAAAGAATATACCCATACCTCATATATATTTTTTTATTTAAAAAAAAATAAGTAACGACAGGTTCCTGTGGTTGTACCGGTATCTGTAAAAAATAAATTTACTTGAACAATTAATTTCAGCTTTGATGTCTTGTATTAAATTATCTGCTATTCTTTATTTGATAATTGGATATTGTTTGTTAATCAATTGTTTGTCCTGTTCAAACCCGATATACAGGGAATATACTGTTTTCCCCGCCATATTTATACAAACACTAAACAACACGAGATGTTTCATTTAAGGTATCACACCGGTAATTGTTTTCACTACATAATTCTATATAGAATAAAAAATCGTTAAAAATCAGGTATTTGTTTACATGAAAAAATATTTAGCAGGAGGTGTTAAACATTACCTGTCACATTAGCTGACACCAAAAAACAGGGTACCCACACGGCATTTTCGGACTTTTTCCATCTGCAAACAGGGCTACCGTCAAATCCACGTGTTTTCACTTTGTTTATAAACACCTCGAGTGCATCTCAGGAAGTAGCCTCCTATGCCCTGAAAAAAATCAAAGGGCAAAGGACCGACGAACCCCAAAAAGGGCCATGTCAGTTCTTACTGGTATATTGTTATCAAAACATTGGGGTCTAAGGGTTTCAACACTGTGTCTTTGAAATTTCCTGCATACATCAGTCTGATTGGTCAAATTGAATTTAACCAATTATATAATTTTCAAAAATTGAAAAAGAATATAATGAGACAAATTATACTTCCAAAATCATTCACCAAAATGACTTCCTGCACTCTGTGTAAGAAGACGGTAAGGCCCCGCCAACACGCAATCCAGTGTGATGGCTGTGAGAGATGGACCCACAGAACCTGCAACACCGGTAAGTTTATTTATCCTTTTTTTTGTAATTGAAAACTTTAGTGATAGAGTATGCAATATATTTTAAATGGAACAAGTGTATTTGGAAAAAGATGCATTTTTGGATTTACTTAGTTTACATTTAGGTCCAATAGAATAGAATATCTTCGCGATATTGCCAAAAAAGCATGTGCGTTAATTACAGGGACTTTAGTGTGGTTTTATGGTTAAGATCTAGTTAATGACTTTAGACTAATCTTTTGGTGCTATATCTATTATGAACTCATCACCAACTTCAACTTTCATTTTCCCGTACTTTGTACGAAAGTTTCAGTGCATTTATGACAGACTGTTACATGCTTGTTTATTGGATTTGAATAACGTTAACGCAATCCAAAAATTATTTATTTGGAAAATTATTTATTTGGACCCCCTAGACAAACCAGCGACTTAAATTTTTATATAGACAAAAATCATATTTGTCAATGCAACCAAGAAAATCATTGTGTACCGCTTTGATTTAATGTCACATTGATAATGCTAATTACTAGTTGGTATGAAGGACTATCTGAAAAATTAAAAAATTGACTACAGGTTACAGAACAAGATTATTAGATTTATTCTTGATGTTTCACCTAGATCAAGAGTAATTAAGTGTTACTGAATTTGAAAAATTGGGGTTTTTGAACATTAAAAGTAGAGTGTCAGGTTTACAATATTTTTCATAATAAAGGTCCTACTTATATGCACTGCAATTTTAATCGAAATGATTCAAAAAAAAGTGTACAAGGTCAAGTTTAATTCTTTTGTGCCAAGGGTTCAAAAAATGGAGAGTCAAACATTTTTTTAATAATGGAATCAAAGATTGGAATCTCTACCTGACCATATTAAAGCATCAACAAGTAAAGAAAAATTCAAAAAAGAGGTCAAAACATTTTATGGAGAGAAATCAAAATGTATATGATCTAAAGTAGAGTACCCTTTTCTGAAACCTGCATGTATACAAAATCTCCTTGCGGAAACAAATAGCCCATCTAAATATATGTTATTTAAGAGCATAATTAAACACTTCGCACTACAATAAAGTTTTTGGTAAAACCTATTTCTGTTCCATTTTATATTGTGTTACATTACATTTTCTAAACCTAACAACTTTTTGGAGAATTTAAAATTAATTAATTTTTTATTTTTTAAAATCTTCTTTAGAAATAGTCTATCATTCTTATGGACAAGCACACATTCGCCTTTATTTATCCTAAATTTATATATACTACATTCATAAATAAATACCGGTATATGAGGGGTTTTTAAATTTTGTTTCCTATAAATCAACAACAAATATGCTCGATTTCTTAATATGCTTTCAGGAAACATTTCATAGAAAACTTTTTAAAAAACAATTATATGTATGTTATATCCAATTTTATGTAAAGTTTTTGAAAATATGAGTGTGATTTTTTTTCTTAATTCGAACGTTCAGAAACCCTTGGGGCCATTAGTAAAGAGTACTGTGTATACCACATATACTGCGTGTATATATATACACTTGGTCATAGGCATTATTTCCTCCTAGGTAAATCACACAGAATATACAAAAAATACACCTGACCTCGCGACACGTGTCCCCACCTGTGGCAACTGGCACGTGAACTTCACTGAAGAGAGGTGCCCGTACGTTAGTGAGGTTCGACGTAAATTATTGAAAAAATCGACCCGAAAATATCAACTTATATATACACACTACTATTATAAAGAAAATACTTCTAAGTATGTTTGTAAGAAAATATAAACTAAGTAATTTGTCCTAGGTAGAATAACCTTTCCGAAAGCCAGTTTGACTTTCGCTTATATATGATTTAAGCTTTCTACACAACTTCCAAGCGTTTATATATAAAATGGAGGTAAAAAGCTTACCGATGCTACTTAAAAGTGTTATTGGACGATAATTTTCTGGATTTGTTGGGTCACCTTAATTGTTAAAAATCGGTTTGACAATACCCGTGAGTCATTCGTCTGATATTATTCCACTATCAAAAATCAAGTTGTACAATTTTTTATATACAGGCAAAAAAGTACAATGTAACTATTCATGCTATTTTTGATGAAATATGTTCGTTTAACAACTGGTCGTAGCCTGCGGCCATATTATTTTTTTTTATTTTTTAACTGCACATAAAATTTCTTCCTCACTAATCTCAAAATTCAAGATATGCAATAATTGGTGTCGTGTACCTGCCCCCAGAAGGCAGTAAATACGCATCAGAATATTTTTTAAAATCTGTTATTGCAGAAAAAGAGATCGGGACTTAACCCCCCCCCCCCCAATACTTCACTCTTGAAATTTTAAGAGTTTGCGCCCCTCATGCCCCCTTAAATCCGCTATTTTATGATACCGGCAAACATTCTCAGTTTTAAAAATATAATAAATATATTTATCCTTATTAGAATAAGAATCAAACAAAATATAAGAATTTAAACAAAAATCTTTTAGTTACTCGTAGAACCGTTTTTGTACATGGATTTGGGAGTTCAACAGTTATATTTATTTGAGTTTAAATTTTTTCTTCAAAATTATGG